CAATAATGTCAGCTGGAGAGGGCGTCAGCTGTTGGAAATGGCCAAATTTAAACATTTGTTTCAGAGACTTAATTTAGGATTGCAGCATGTCTGATGTTATCATGTCGAGCATAGCGTTGAATCCGGCTTGCCAAGTGGTCGCTTTACTGAAATATTGTTTTAGTTTCGGAACCCAACGACCTCATTAAAACTTTTTAACAGCGGACGCAGGAACTGATAACCCGAGAAAACGGCAACGAATTAGAATATTACGGTACTTTTATAAGGAAATTTGCCCTTTTTAACACCATCCCTCTTACATTTTGGTAAATAGTTTTCTTATATCATTTTTCATTTGGAATAATTTACCAAAGTTTCATTCCTAGGAAATTATGTTGCGCCCAATATTACCTATAGTAGGTACAGTACTTTAGCAATATACTATTCGATTTTTTGTAAAAGTATTAAACATTTAACAAATCTAAAAACGTTAATTGAACTTCTTTATATAAAAACTTCCTTATAATTTTATTCCTCAGTTTTCCTTATGTTTTCAATCCATAATCTGGTTTACCTCTTGCTTTCATTTAAATCTCATTAACATGAAACATTGTGTATCTATTGACTCTGGCAATTAAAACAACCATACCCTTTATTAGACAGCGTCTGCGGCGCACCTGCTTGAATATAACGTGTATATTATTGAAGAACGTTGCGCGAATCCGCATACCGAATAGCGGATCCAATATTCATGAGGCATAAGGACCGAAATTCCGCGCTGCAACATTAAAATCAATACAGGACAGTATATGGCATGCCATAATATATCTGCAGTTCGCCATCACCATGGAGCAATTCGCCGTCGTAATTACGAATTAGAGCTTTGGATGAAAGCGTGTCAAGACAAAAAAAAGGGAAGTTGTATATTGGAAGTTGCAGGGCGGTGGTAACAACGATAAGGGAATTAATTGCGTTTTAGTTCTAATAAGAAATAATTTACAAGTAAGGAAAAATAATCGTGTTAATAATTTTGGATTGTATAATAATATGGTGTAGGTACTCAGTTTTATTTTTTATTGTTTTAAATTTTAGCAATAATAGAAAGTAGGTAGGTATGCGTACACTATGCTTTTCTCTTGTTACTTTATTCTATTTTCTTTTCTCTTATTAGAAATTATCAGTAAAAATTGGGCTAATTCGAAATGAGTGATCGATACATTGGTAAATCAAATTTGCCAAAAATATCTTTAAGCCTCTCCTGTACAGCTACCTCTCAATTTATGTAGACACCGGATATTCTGCGGTGCACACACGCGCTCCATTCAATAATCCTTCGAAACGAATCTACCGAAACTGGTAGGTCCTACTCCGTTGTATAGGAAAGGGTTTTGCCCATTAATTTTTCCTTGGGGCCTACCACCGACACGTGGCCGGTATTAAATAACATTCACTGAAATCTTTTGATATACACGGCGACATTTTGCCGTAGTATCATTATCATCCGATGTTTGTGATGCCTGCCGATCAAAAAAATAAATACTTAACGGTCTTTTTTTTAATTTATTCTTATATATTTTAAACCCTCTGTAGGTTATAGTTATAGTTTATTAATTATTATTTATAGGTATCACTTAATATTCCTTAATAATTTCTGAAGTATCTGAAGTATTCATTTTATTTAGTATCATCTAAATACATTTCTTTTCAACTTATTTTTATTGATAATGTTAATCCAATATTTATAATTTAGAATAGGAAAATATAGCATTTAAAAAGATTAGGTACAATATCTGGTAAAATAGATCTGGTATATAGAGTAAAATTTGAGAAGGAAGGGGTCACTTTCAACATTTATTATAATGTACTTTAATAATTATTATTTAGAATTTTTATTCAAAATTTGAGCTAAATATCTCAAAAAGTGCAGGAGCTACAAAGAAAAAACAAAAAAAAATTTAAATTTCAACACCCTGTTGATCGGTAACGAAACGTTTGCGGACCCACGTTTATATGAACTTTTTGTCACAAAATAAGCCAAGGAATCACCCCTTTTCGGATGTACACGATGTTTAGGAACACCCTGACTAGATATAAAAAATTATTTATTTCTTTCCTAAAAATAACCTATATGAAATTGATCAACTCAAAATCACAAGCCAATTTCCCAAATTTTACAAAAAAAGCTTATTCCTAATTTGCTCTCATTTACATAGTCACTTGATATTTTACAATTTTATTTTATTGTGTAGGATATATTTCTTGCGAAATTTGTCTAAAAAAATGGTACCGTTATACAATCAATTCGATGAAGGTATATTGAATGTACTCTTTTTTACCGTCGTCTGACCTAATTTAATACCTTTGCTGTGAGAAATTCACGAAACCCTCCGTTATTTGCGAAACTCATCTTTATGGCAATCCAGTTTTCGGTAGAAATTTTTAACTAGGTCGTTTAGGTAAAGAAATGTAAAACCATCGAAAAAAATCTCATTTCCTGGGAACCGGTGCTCCTCTTCGCACAAAAGATTCGCTGATAAAATGATTTTTTTGCACCTTGATTTTTGCATGTTTCCCTTTTTTATACCCGACAACCGAAATTAGGGTTTTTTATTGTACATTTTCGTGTACCCAAAGAATTCGTCGGGGATGGAAATAATTTCCAAATTCGTGGGAATTGCATATTTTCGACAGATTGATCCGCGATGATGGGGGTTGTCAATGGAAAGGGGTAGTTTTGCAGACTTTGAACGATATTTTTTAATCTTGTTAAAATAGGAAAGGGATTAGGTATGCTCTTTATTAATGAAGTGATTGTGAATGCTTACTCTGTGGAAGTTTTTTTTGTCTTAATTTCTTACGGTTATTTCACATGTTGCAAATGGATATACCTACTCTCTAAAATTGCCTTATAAAAAAATATTAAAACAAGTAAATAATTGAATAATTGTATGTGTATAAAGCATCTATACGCAGATAAACGGGGGCGACGTTTTACGCGAACCCCGTTTCACCAATGGCGAAGAGAAGCCAAATTTTAAATTGAAATAAATCTTTCCACCCCTATCGTCGCGAGCGGCGTTCGCGGGGCGCTTTTTTGGCATTGGTGCATACCTAATGCGACGAGAGCCTGCGCCCTGGTTCAAATCTGAATATACTATGCGTGAGTATACGTATCGGAGTGATCGCCGACGTTAGGCGTTTTATTTTCGGCGGCTGATATGAGCAACGTATCGCATATAACGACGCTATAATGTATGCGCGCTATCCCCGTTGGCGTTGTTGAAAACGATCACACCTACTGGAAGTTTTCACTTTTAAATCGCGACTACGCCTTCCGAATTGTTGGATGAAAAATCGCTAAGGAGAGCATGGGCGTAGTAGAAAATATTTATACATATAGAAGAATTTTCTTTTTACCCATATTTATATCACATATCACGTTAACTGCTGTTACCAGTTTGTTTTCAATGATTCATATAAAAATATGCTTATTTACCTAAAATGTTCTTCTTTATCTATAGAATACTTCCAATTTTCGCACAAATTAAGGTCTAAACGAGATCCATTCTAATGGATTTTTGTTGTGTCCTGTGTCTATTTAATAAACTGATCAAAACATCCGCATCTGGGTAAGGGTGACCCAACTTACTCACAGACCCGTAACTACCCCCATAGTTCGTCCACCCTTGGGCACGTGACACGACGAGGTCAAATATGAGAGAGCTATTAACAATTTATGCCCTTTCGTTCGTTATTTAAATTTTAGTTGCGGAAATGCGAATTAGAGATAAAAGTGATGCTTCTAATCTATTAGAATATACCTACTCCAACAAACAATTTGAAAATAAAACGTAGTATACAAGATATACGATCGCAGTCGGTTCTCATGTCAATAAAACTGAAATTAAAATTAACACAATTAACGAAATGATCGAGAGCAATTAAGGAGTTTTGTTGCAATAATTATAGATGTGTTTTTATTTGTTTTGCGTTGAATAAGGTATGTGGGGATGAAAGAATCTATAGGTAAGCCTATGTAGGTTGATATATCTACTATTTACAGGTTGATATTATAATATAGGCTGGTATAACAAAATATTAAATGAAAGCATCAGTTAGTTATAAATACCTTACCTACATACTGGATAGGTATTATTCGTTCATTAATCAAAATCAACAAAACTTTCCATAATTATTTCGTTATAATAGTGAGTGCAATTTTCGAAGTGTATAATCGCCTTAAAATATAAATATTCATGACAGTTAATACTGCCAGTTTGCAAAAATTATATAAATAATTATTTTTATAATTAAACAAAGGAAACGCGTATTTATAAATTAATTAACTATAACATACCTACCCATTATTATGTCCGTATAATAAGAGGAGTAGAATTACTAGATATTTTAATAATTCTGTAAAATCTCAAAATCAGAAGTACCTACCTAACATATAGTAGGTTCATTCTATGCAATATGCAATTATTAATTAAAAATGTAAAGTACCTATAGGTACACTTTTATAACAAAAAATATTTATCTGGCAAAATTGGTAAGTTATAGGTATAAAATAGACATTTTTAGACATTAGGTAGGCGTACATATTTATATCAAAACTATCAAAGCAATACAAAAAAATCATATTCAATAAAAATTCTTATAAAGATATTAGCATTTTTGTAATAAGTTAATATGTATGATAATAAAGAGAAACACAGAAATAATCTAAATTGCCATATATATTGATTTAGTACGCCATTAAAATCAGCATCGTAAAGAAAAAGGAAAGAAACGTGTAATCCTTTTGCTCCTATACATACATTCACATAAATACATATATAAGATGTAGAATAAATAAATAATCCATACAATTTATATACTATTGTATATCGGGACAGAGGCATACTGCGATTGGCCGACCGTTAACCCCACTACGCTTACGCCCGGGTCCATATCCCCTCCCCACGATTTCAGCATCCTACCGATGCAAATACGCGTTGTTATATGGCTATAGTCGGTGGCGCAAACAACACGGGGCCCAAGCTACTTCGCGGTATCAAAACAGTGATAAAAAATATAACAATTTTATTAGCCCGTGTCAGTGACAGTGACAACACATATCAAAGCAATCTAGTGCAGTGACATGAATTAAGTGAAACAAATCTGGCGGATTTTAAAAGTGAGACTGTGCGGAGGTGGGTAGAATCTCACCCCTCGCCCACCCTCCAAAAGAAATCTAATCTGGACACTCTGAAATCGTTTAAAAACAACAACAACAACAACATAGACTTTTCGCACAATTTTTGGAACAAATCGAACAAAGATACTAATATGTCAATGCTGTTGCACCAGCCGCCTACCCACATGATTCTGAGTCCGCACGAGACTGATCAACCCCTGGACTTTACGATGTCGAAATTTAAGACAAAAACTTCGGCAACGGTGGCTTCGCAGCTTAAACAATTTAACAATTTCGCCGCTCAACAGCACATGATGTTATTACAAAACAATGGACTCTACTATAATAAAAACAACAATAATAAAAATTTTACACGTGGAAGTACGCCGTCTTCTAGTAGTTCTGAAGAAGAGGGTGTCGGACCCCCGGGGGGATCGCCTAGATCTCCCCCGCCGAGCCCTTTGCGAACCAGAACAGATGGTAAGTTTTAAATATAATTTTTAACATATATTTTATACATACTATACCTACACAACAATTTTATTTTTAATAAAAGCGCAGAATGAAATACCTACCTAAATCTTACAAATTGCATGTATGATAGGTATATCGGTATAACAAGCAAGAACTATAAGGATATCTTCAAACTAGATCTTTTCTGAATTTTGCATCAACATTAAAATCTTGAAATGGGAAACATCTTAGGTACCAATATTTGACAAATTTTGGAATGAATGTGAAATCAATGTTTCGTTCTTTAATGGTTCGTTTTAGTTATTTGAGATAGCATGAATTGGCAGAACATAAACGAGTTTGTTCCTGTTCAAAAATTGAAAGCTCTCTGAGAACCTGTTAGTTATTACCTAAAGATTTATGTCTGAAGTTCCTGTAAATATTTTAAAAATATGTAATTTTTATTAACATTTTTTGTACCAAAATTGGTAGGTATGTAAGTAGATAGATAATTAACTAAGAATCATATTTTTACACATCTAGAAATGTTATAAATGTAAGAATACGAGATTTCTATAATAATTGAAAAATATCTACATATTAAGACAAGTACCTACATATACGTATGTACCTCTATTAAATTATATTAAGTTTTCAGTATTCGTCGCTTCTTCATTCACAAAATTATACCTATACTGCACTAATTAAATAAATAGCAGATTTTATTTTCCCACCATTTGAACCTATATATAGGTTTATAAATATTGTAAGAAATCTAACCACTGTACATAGATGCAAAAACTACTTGATTACCTTTAATCACAAGACATATGTTATTTGAAGAAATACTTTGATAATACTTCACATTGAAAATGCATGTATCATGACATTACAGACGATATAGGTATAATATAATTTATAAGCCAACTTAATTAGTTCTGACGTTGTTTTTAAATATACGTATGTAGAAAGTTCTCATTAAATCATAGGTTTAATATAACATCCAGACATACCCAATGTCTTAGGTAAATAACAATCCATATTAAGATAAAAAAAATATTGTGTAGGTATACTGTTTATAGAAGGGAAATAATTGGCTTTACAATAAGAAGATATTGTGCGAACAAATTGGAATATTTCTGAAAAATATATCATTACTTATTAAATAAACCGATACCTACATAATATTTGGAAGTAGTCTGAAAGCATTTAAAGCAATTAAAATTATATTGCTTTTAATTGAATAATAAAGTGCAGGTAACGAATATAAAATGTTAATCGTGAAAGGTAGAATATGCAAGGTGCCAATGCCGCTTTAATGCTACGACACAATAACTATACGGCTTGACCACTATATGATCTTGCAAGTGTAGTATAATTATCTTCTCAAACAATTTACCGCTTTTAAACAATACAAAATTCCGCCCGGAGATGATGTGGGCGTGACAATCGTTTTACCAATTTTATTCTACAAATACGCCACCCGGTCGATTGCCGATATACCGAGTGATCAAGAAAATATACCTAGGTTCATGTTATACCTACTCTGAATAGTAGGAGAAAATTATTTTTAAAATTGTCGTTAGTTATATTCATTGCATTTTGTTTTACTGCCTGATGATTAAAAAATATATCTGCATTATGGATACATTCTAAAGCAAAGTCTAATTATTTACATTTAACAAATAATATTATTCCTGGATGAGTAAATGATGTGCCAATGTTACTATACGGGCTCTTTCTTGTAAGCTTATATTGAATTTTAATATATCTTTTTGAGGCCTTCCATGCCGCTCAAGTATGAATCCTAAGCTAATTGATTTTCGTAAGACTAGTTTATGCGGAGTTAATGCTTCAACTTATTTTTTTCAAAAATCATATGCAACCGTAACGTTTTTGAGTTACATAAGAGCTGTTTCCTGCATAAACAGATCTACTTCGTGAGTGCATTTGAATCTCGAGAAACATACGGAATGAAAATACAAACTACGTGTGAAATATTTGCGTGTTTGCTTGTTTTTCCTTTGAATGAAAACCTTTAGCGAATAACTAAATTGACACGCTAGTTAAAGTATAATGCTTTTATGATTTTAGAAGTTATACCACTGGAGGTATTACAAAGGCACTCTGTGCGAGTAATGATTGTTGTTAGAATGCTGTGCTGTAAAGCCGATACCATTGTTCAGTTTCGGTTAGCCTCCGGTATAATCGTGGTGTTTAGCTGTAGGTATAATCTATTCGATATTATAATGAACGGAGCCGTCATATTAACGGCTAATGCACACGCTTTTGCATATATTTACATGGGAAAATTGCTTGTTTTCTTAATAGAGTTTAGGCACTCGCTATCTTCGGTAAAGTGTAGGTCCTCCTTGGATGTAGTCTCACGGTAAATACTTTGTTTTTTGAAATTTATAATCAGTTGCTATTAACTCAATGATTATTTTTGTTGCGTTTATAAATTTGAACAGGTTTATTTTATATTTGTTAATAAATACTGAAAATATTTTACCTGTGCTAAGGTTTCAAAATTGTAGGCAATGGCTCAAATTTCAAATTGTATCGATCGTAGCATTTTTTTGAAAGAATAATCTTTTGAGTAAAATTTTAGTACCAAAAATCTGATTCTTAGTGTACGCTTTACCTGGTGGCTCTGCCCTGAAATTCTAAATTGTTTTCAACTAAAAATGAGCATGCAAAGACGAAAAGGTTTCTTTCACATTTTTAAGTACCTACATACATACCTATAGGTATGAAAATATTTACCTAAAGTTTCATAAAAGTAATTTTGAAAATAAATAAAAAATAATTGCCATTTACTAGCTATGAAAGAATTACGTACCTACATATCTAAATATACAAAATCTGCATACCTAATATGAGAATTTCAAAAATCTTATTCACAATCGATATGGAAAAGATGGGTATAATTATCCACAAATATGAGAAAGGTAAAAACCGCGTTTTTACATCTAACAACCAAAAACCCAAAGATCCCATCTGTCGGAGTTCCCATTTTTCTACGTGATATATGCACGGTTTCCTAGAACGGTATGTGAATATTGTAAGAGAATTTGAATATTGAAAAAGACCGTTTATTTTGAATAGATTTAATGGATCTAAACTGTAAAAACGTGCCCCGAAAGATCCTACATTTGCAAGAAGTATTTCTACCTGCACAAAATTGAAATCCCGTCCGTTTTTACAAAAACATCATCCGTGCAGGTGTGAGACAAGCACATGTCACGGTAAAAATTGAGGGAGTGCGAAGATTTTTTGCTCCGAATTTTAACTTGGTTTGGTTTATTTTCCGACTAGTAGACTACATTTATGATTAAATAAATTTAGGGTTTGGATTAATGGTCTTTTTAATTATTAGCATAATAGAGAAGGCATAACGTAACAAATTGTCCAAATTTGATTAATTATTGGATAGCAAGAAGTTGTGGGTGGAAGAGTAAATTAGTTGGAAATATGCCAAAAAATAAAAAGGCATTAGTCCTACTAATAATTTAATAAATTTATTGAATAATTGTGATACCTAACCACATACAATTATAAGCAAGTGACAAATAATATTCTATAGTCTATAGTCGGTATAATAATAAAAACATAATGCAGTTTGCATCATAACGAACTGCGAGAGGTGGTTACACAAAATACAAGAAGTTGCTAAAAAATCATTGCAACACGGTTTTTTGTGCTTTCTTTTATTTCCCATAATTTTATTACTTAATAAAAATAAAACAAGGAGAAAATATTTTTCCTCCAAAATCAATAAAAACAAACAATATTGGCATCGTAACAAAACAAGAATAACCTACCGAATTTTTAACTACTTCTTATCCTATCTCTACCTGTAAAAGCCATCTTTATCTTTACGTTTTAATTATGTTAGGATTAGATGAGAGCGCTATATAGAATTAGATTCTGTTGACCTACACTGTTCCGCTTTATGAGCCCCCAGTTCATTATGGTGATTTCATCTAGATTGTAAGTAATTCCTAACAAATTATAAGCAACTATAACATTTCATAGAGAAACAAATCAAAAAGTAAAACGATTGTGCGATAAAGGAAAGGATTTGGTTTAAAAATGGCGCATTGGAGAAATTTAAGATAAAAGAAAATTAATAAACTGTTAAAGAGATGGTATAAAGGGATTTTTAACCACATTTTCCCATGCTAATGGTTTCTAACGCAGGCACACACCATTTATCTACTAGTCTTAAGAAATCAGCGTGTGATTTTTCAAATGCGATCCCGAAAAGGCGTTCGAGCCGCTGAATTCAGATGATGTTACATGCTGACTCATCGCAGGCAGCGAAGAGAAGACGAAGAGAAATGAATTATAATAATGAAATAAATTGCTTATATTAACGGTTTATTATTAGTTTTCAATAAGTGATGATAATGGTCATTATTGCCCGTCTATTATAGGTTCTTTTCGCTATTTGCATGTCGTACTTTGACGGCAGTGGGAACCTTTCAATCTCAGTCCATCTTATAGGGGAGATGGGAGTACTTAACTACTTGAGTTTATTTTCTGAGTTATATTCAGCAAAAATATTTCATTTTGTGGAATTTACCATACTCTCAAGGAGAGTAAATATTTTACAAGTAGATTATTGAAGAATTTTTGTATCAATTTTTTGTCATCACAATTCCTTTCAAATTTGTGAGGTTTGGTAAAAGCATTTGCACCGACAAATATTTTTTTATGTATAAATCAATCTTCAACTATAATAAAACGAATTATTGGAATTATTATGTACCCATTTTGAAAAAACTGACTACAGAAATTACCATAACACTTTTTTTGAAATTCGACTTCAATAGGAGTCAATGAGGTATATTTGCCATGGGCGTGTAAAAGAGCTGTTAAGATTTTTATACTTATTATAGTAATTGAAAATTCTTTTTAATCCACTACATGCACAAAGAGAAATATAATTGAATTTTAAAGAGTTTCAAATACCAGAGAGCAAAGTCTATACGATACGTCTAAAGCATAACTTTTCACCAATTCATGGTAAGAATTAAAGATGGTTGGATTTTTGCTGTTGAAAAAAGCTCATCAGATCCTAAGTTGTCGTTCAACAGAGATGTGCTCAAACTAAATGATTTAAAATGAGAAATCCTATAACAGTCTTACACCCATCGTGTTTCAACGACGTATCTCGTTCGGATTTTCCATCAATTCAACCCCAAACGTAAGAAATTTAATTCAATGTAGGTAATTAATCGACTTCATTCGCAGGAAAAAATTTGACATATACACCCAGTTGAAAAATACTAGTTACTTAAATTTACCGAATCAATTTCACATCCCATTTTTCAAAACATCATTGCACCTCAATGTCTCTTTTATTCAACTTGTTAAAAAAGCACTGTAAAATCGTCAATAACGACAAACTGCAGGCAAACTACATGTTATAATTAATTTCATAATTTCACACTGTATTTACGTTCCTAAGGCGTAAAGAGTCACGAGCTTCTTCATTCTTGAGCTAACTAACTGAGAAACTATCTGGTTAAGGTCATGGATATACATTTTTAAAAAGAACGCAATGAAATCCATTATCTGATGTTGAACGTAATGAGAATTTTAAATTGAAGTTTACTTACGACTTTACTCAGCTGCGAAATATGAGATTATTATTTTTATAAACGGATCCATTATTAGAGCTATTATTAATAAGTGCCCAAGTAACAATGTAAGTGGTAACGAGCTTGCAGGAATGAATAATTGGATTAATGCAATTATTGAAGGAACCAGATTTTTTGTAAATTTATGTAAAATACTTGTTATTAAATGATTAAAGAAGGGTGCCATTAGATATTATAAAATTAAGAACTAATAAACAATACCGGAGTTTAGAAAACTACATATACACTGACTTCATATACCAGGTAGCATTAGGTACTAAGCAAGATTGGTGTTTTTTTGTTTGTTATTTTTTTTTGTTGCCAACAAATGTTCCTAGAGCATTTATAAAGAGAGTTGTTTTTAAATATTTGCAAATAGAGAACGTTCACATCTAATTACCTAATTACATATTGAAAAGCCGATTTTACTTTGTATACCTGCAGATAAGAAATACTTTCCTAATTCGCCGGTAATTTGCCATGAATATTTCATTTTTCGGGGTAACGTCGAGTAATTTTTTCGAGTTTTGTTTTACATGTCGACGCAAAAAAATTGGCCGTTACTAATTATTAACGATATCCGCAGGTGCACTTCGGGCGAATATGTTGCGGTTTCTCTTGGCTATTTTGTTAGAATTGCTTCCCTCTGGTAAACGTGGAGAATTTTAAAATATTTTGTACCATTAACATTGGCCCGAAATTTTGTATTAGATATTTCTATTGACGTAGTGATATATATTATTGAAGTTATTTGCAAGTTATTATCATATCATGAACTGTGAAATCGTTTACCTAATGCCTAATGTTAATAATTGTATCTATAAATTACTACTAATAATTAAATTGACATTTAAATGTAGAATAATACCATTACATACTTATTTTAATTTATCCAGTTCCGTTTGCTCAATTAAATTATGTTTGTTTATTTTATTTGCAAAACACTCGCTTAGTTATAAATAAAACTATACAACTAATAGCCGTAAGATATAAACGAATTTTTAGTTAAAGTAAAACAACTTCTTCAAAATTATTTCTAAGAAAAATATTACTCCTTCTGCCACTCCCATTTTCATATAATTTACAACACTTAAAAAAACCACCGAGGATAATAACAAATGTCCAAACCGCAGGCTTCAAACACCGAAATTTCGATAATTCGAATTGGTTTGACTGGTAAAAAAATCAGTCTAACAAAACGTATGTAAATTTTCCGCATTAAAATTCTATCAATTGACTAATTAACTATTAATAACACATGTAAAAACTTTTTATATACAGCAATAACCACTGAACAATTATCCAATCTTATATTTTACCCGACGAATAAACCTATCAGTATCAAGCACTTTCACGGGTTTTAATACCTAAATCATCTGCATATGGGCCGATAGGATCAAATCACACGATATTAGGCTTCGATTAAGTCCGAGAACGTGTTCGAGGAAAAAAATACTCAACATTGATGATACAGATCAAGTCCAACCTCCTAAATTATAAATCAGTTTCCATGGTCTCTTCACAAAACTTTTTAAAGGGGGACCTTTCCATTTTAGAAGTCTTTATAAAAATCAGAGGGACAAAATTCAAATGTATTAGAATAAAAGACTTAAAAAAAGTTTAAATTAAAATTAATTAAAATGATGAATAAATTCAAAAACGTAATAAAATTAAAAAAAAATCAATGACGACTTAATTCTATAGTAATTAAGTTGTTAATGTTTTGGGTTAACCATTTAAATAGTTTATTTTATGAATAATAAAATTATAATTAGATACTTTCTATATGAATTAATGTTTATTTCGTTTTTTTTACCTTCTGCTACTTTTCTTCAGTTATATTTAGGTATTTACACATGTCTATTGAATTTTATATTTAAATTCATAAATAGGTAAATAGAGAAAATAATACAATTCATCGATACTCGGCGTTCAAAATAAGTTGAAGTAGATATACATAATAATAAAAAATATTAAAGAACGCTCCTGTAACTATTAATAGTGTAACGCTCCTGATTAATCCCAATATGCAAAACAGAAATATTTAATCTTCGAGAGGCGTTCCGAATGCATATTAGAATGGACCGAAAAGAAATAATATATTGAAGTAGTTCCGAACTTTACAGAAAAGAATTAGTTAATAAGAGATAAATGATCACATAAGCACATCTAGATATTTAATAGCATCATAATTGGGTGTTATATTAATGTACCTATTCAATAATTACAACATTACTATCCTTGCCATACATTAATTAAAACTTTCTTTACTAATTGTTTTATTGCATTTTTTCAGAAATTCCTACTTCGCCAAACACCCCTACAACTGAAAATAAATACGGTAAGCAAACAAAATTCTTTTAAACCTTTAACAACGCACAAAAAAACTTAAAAAACTACCTTGGGCCGTAAAAAATATTCAAAGAATTTTACAACCCTAGCGGTCAATTTAACTTTCTTTTTAACAACCATACAATTCAAATTCTATTTAAATTCTCGTCGCACAAACGGTCCCCAAAAAATTCCAAATACCGGTCATCCCGAATTATTCGCAAACATTTTTTTATTACTTTCACCCCCATAAATCTTTGGGCTTTAAGGGGTAATTTTTAAATCTGCTTTCCCTTTCGGTGAATAATGAACTCGAACCCTAAAATATGTCTACAAGTGTTTATATTCTTCAGAAGTTGAGAAAAAAATGTCATAACCTTAGGGGGTGCAGTTTAGTGTTTTATTGAAAGGGATCATCTGAATGTACAGGAGTGGTTCTGCTATAAATGTTTTTCTAGAAACTTAAAAAATAAAATGTTGTAGAAAGTCAGCTACCTAATTACATATTTTAATTTAATAGATGTTAAACAGCAATTGAGACAGCAATAGTAATATAATTGGTTGACTTCTAAGTGAAAATTACGTATTGCAAAAAATATTTAAATATTTATATTATCATTAATCACTTACAAATTAAATTTGCGTTTTTTTATATACATGCGTCTGTTTTTATAATTACATAAATCAGTTAAGAAAAATGATTTAATGAGAAAGTAGAATAGGGCAAGGCCGACCGTGGTTGTCAAAATAAAAATCGCGTGATGTCTTGTAGGGGTAGCAACAGGTTTAAATGTGCTTTTCATATCTCATATACTTACACTTCCCAAGGGGAGTGCCACCCCTTGTTCCACAAGTAACGCGTGTAAAGACACCAGATTTTCTTGTTTGCCAAATTTTTGCACCAGCTGTTACGGGAGTTTATCTGATTTCCGGCAATAAAATTGTATTTGTAAAAATTTGAAACAAAACATTTTTCTCTCCTTATAGAAGAAATTTTCCCCTCCAAAATATACCTATCGAATAAAAAATAGTATCTATTGAATTAAAAATTGGAGCACATTGTGAACATGCGATTTAACTATTGCAAACTATTATCTATACATATTGAAAATATCTATACAATAATGACTGATGTTTATCATGTTGCTGGTTATTTATTATCTCTTCATTTGAAAGTAATAATATTACCTTCCTGTTTGAGTGTTCAAACTAAAACACTAATCATCATTAGCTTTAACAAGTGTAGAGAATTTGCCTACATTTACTGGAATAAAAACACTGTGAGAAAGATACAGTCACTTTAGCGTACTTACCTATACACACATTAAAAATGCATGAGCGTAATTGTTTATTTATACCAGGCTGTATCAAAATAGTAATAACCTCGAAAGAAAGAGGAAAAGTCCGGTATACCTAACAAAAATTAAATGGAATATTCAAACATAATCAATTTCAATGTAATTTTTTATGATTGAATTATGTATTACTTATTACATATTCGAAATTCTTTGTAATGTTTCAACCATATTAAATATAGGTTAATGCGGCTCCCTGTATTCGAAAAACAATTTCTTGCTTCTCACTTTGTGAATGGATGATGTCTTTCTTTAATTTGACTGACAAGTCACTTCGAATTAAAGTACACTTAACGGTTAGGAAATTATTTTCGAATTAAAGTTTGTATTAACATCCGAAAAATTAATACACATTTTCGGTAGGCAGATAAAGTAGTTGAATTTCGTGCCGTATAATTTAGAATGAAATTTTTACAGGTGTTAATTGTCGTCAATTTAGTGGAATCAGATCGTGGAAAAAGAATGATTTTTGATGAAAAATCGTTTTACTAACAAACTGTTTTGTAAATCTACTTACATTAGGTGAACTTAATGTTCAACAATGTGGATGTTATAGATACCCACAATAAAAGAAGTTCAGGAACACCAAAAATTAGCTGAATCACGGCACCGGCAAAAAACTTATTCGGTTATTTATTATCTTTTTATAAATATTCATAGCTCTGTGTGGTGCTTTTATATTCAAATTTTCATTAGCTCTAATAACTACACTTTAATAAGTATAGTAGGTATACATAGGAATTGAAATATTTTACAATTTATAATGAATAGCATCAATCAGACAAAAAAGTTAAAAGGTTTGATTCAAAATGGAAACTAATTAAGAAATCCTTAATTATTGTTAGAATTATCATACATATAATATGAATTATAATTCGAGGAACAAGAGGCAGTCGAATGGAAACAACATTTTTTATTATTGATGGTATTACTTAAACGAAATATACTATAACAGACGTTTCCTTGTTCTCTATAGTCTCTTTAGACGCATACATTGTGTAAAATAGATCCTTTAGGTCCAATTTGCATATGTTATAGAAGTTACGCGTTAGTGTAATAACTGTAATAGAAATCATAGTCATAAAGGTTCTTGTGTGTCCTGTATATGAATTATCTCTCCATTACTTTGTAAGCTTAATGCTACAATAGGAGTCAATTCTTTAATTAAATACACTGATGTACGTGAATGTTAGGTAGCTAATCGTTGCAAATTTGTTTACAAGAAGCAAAACATAAAATTCAAATCAACATATACCTATTTCAAAATTTGACTACATTGTTTCAAACTCAGTAGGTAGATGAATAAGCAGTAAAATCTCATTGATATTTGATGTTTGGCGCCATAACTTTTAGCACAGGTCAGGCATTAAATTAAGAAAAGCAAATAAATAACAAAAAAAGCAATATCCTGCATAAGAAATTAGTGAATTTATTTATTTTCAAAATTTAAACTTCTGTAATTAAGTAACATTTGATTTATATACAAAAAAGTGGTGATTTTATTATGTGGTTTCATTCAATTACAAACATGCTTCCTTTAACTATATTTTGCCTTTATTCTGACTTCTATTTTTTTTTCACGAACATTTTTGGATATAGTTTCACCACAGCATATATACGAATATATATATTTGTATTTATGCTGTGGTTTCACGCCGAATTGATGGGTACTTTTGTTATTGCCTGAAAACTTGTGGTACTTACTGAATTCTTAGTTAAAAAATTTGTTTAAGCTCAGATCAGAAGCCATCTCTGGTTGTGGTAAGCTATTTTACAGGTAGAAACCCATAAAGATTTATCTCATTAGTACAGGTAAACGAAACAAAAAAAAAAGGTTTGGGTTGGGGTGTTGGCGGTATCTCATGCGAAATCGAGGAAGTTTTTTTTTACGATATTGATTTAATTTCCGAGAAAACTAGAGTCCTCAAAGTTTAGTTACTATTTTCTGTATAGGCACACACTAAAATGTGCATACAATTTTGTATCGGTATTTCAAAATCATAAACCCGAGTATAATAATAGCTGATACTCTTCTGGCAAATGTTACAGAAACTATGGAAAAAGAGAGGAAAGAAAAATGTTTATTTTAAAGGATAGTGTCCTTTAAAAACTGATTTCGGTCACGTTTCGGTGAAGGTATGTAGTCGAAAATGTTAAACCTTCGTAACAATACCTCGGCTGATAGCCCAAACGAAATTATTAAATTATAATGTTATGGTAGTAGGTGTTACGGCATGATTGTCACATCTTGTGGCATTAAATTCGAATTAACTTAATTCCGAAGTAAATTTTCTTTTTGTTATTTTTATTGCATCAGATACGCAAATTAACTCTTAAACCCAAACACTATACAATTGCGAGGTTTTGGAACACAGCGGCAAGCCTTTGCAATTCACCGAAATCGATTGAATAAATTTATTTACGGTTTAAAACTAACTAAGCAGTCAAGTCTATTTTTTGTTAAGGGCTACTAAGTATGAGGGGCAGTTATTTTTGCGACTTTTACATTGCATATCATTGAAACCAGTCGGAATAAAAACCTTTACTGAATCCGATTGAAGCTGCCACTGGTACTCAAAACAAAATATTATTTTGTGAAGCCTTTCGTAAAAAAAGGAGCGCTAACTTTCACTAGAATTCAAATTGACAATTGGGTACTTTACATAATAATTACAATAGCTGGTTTTTTTTTTAATTTCTATACTATAACGGATTTACTTTCAACATGTTATTATAACATGACTTTAAGTATACGTTATTTGAAAAGCGTAATTTAGAGTAATATTTTTAATTACGGTCAGTTCTAAACGTAACTTTATGCTGGCGTTTAATTGTTATTATCATCTACGTTTCGAATTTTCTCTTAATTCGCCAAGTTTTGCTCAGATTGCTTCTAATTATTACTATTTTTAATCGGAACTGTGTTCTAATATCTTTTAATAAGATACAAGAACATTGTAATTGTGAGGTAGAAACGTTTCAAAGTATAAAATGCAAATAGATTAAATGAACTAATTTTAAAATAATTAATAAAAATACTCTTTTATATTTGTACGTTACTTATGCGAATATTGAATATTGCGAAAATGTATATTTAAGACATAATTCTCATTGCACCCTTGTTATTTCTTTAATACGAGAATGTTGCCACACAACCGGAAAAATATTCACAGGCAGTCATCGCCTCTACTTGATTACGGTTTAATGACAAATAACTACATGTAAGATGGGTACATATTACAAGAATATTACCCAACATATGGTTCCTTGTATCAAAGCTTAAAAAAATGAACCACGAGCAGCCTGCTTACCCCATTGTATCGTCGATTTCAAAATTAATATCATCGAAAGGAAGAAGAGAGAATAAAGAAAGACGGTACGAGCATATAATACACGACATCGGGATTTTTATAATCCAAAATGCACATGTTGATAATAATGATCAGGATATAAGTAACAATTAACTTATTAGCCCTGTTGCCATGTGCACCTAAATGGCAGAATTTGTTTCAGTTAGTTACAATGTATCTACAGTTTTATCGTCAGTTTAATTTAAAAGTTATTGAATTGAGAAAATTAAAAGCTTAGGTGCGTCTTTTACAAGTTTCAAATTGTACTTTTAATGTTAGAAATCTTTGAATATAAGTTGTGCGAA